AAAAGTGTGACTTAAGCTGTAAAAAATATTGAAAGTTTTGTATCATTTCAAAGCCTATCTATCGGACAGTAAAATATAACAAAAATAATTTCATTTGAAATAATCGTCAATAAATTATAAGCGAAAAACAAGAGATAGTCCTGAATAGAGTTGTGACATCAATGAGAATCCCTATTATAAAAATGTATGTGTAGTTGCGTTTTGTTTAAAGTGTGCAAAAGTGAAGCACTCGCGCAATGCTATTCAATGAGAAAATATCAAAAACATTGTCAAACTCCTATTCAGAATTACCTCTTGTTTTTCGCTCATAATTTATTGACAATTATTTCAAATGAAATTATTTTTGTTATATTTTACTGTCCGATAGATAGGCTTTGAAATGATACAAAACTTTCAATATTTTTTGCAGCTTAAGTCACACTTTTTACTTTTGAAATTCAGTCCAAAATTTTATTGCACACTCGTTACACTAATACAGTACTAATACAGTAAAACTTTTTTGGCAATACTGTATGATACATTATTTTAATCTTAAACCTTTTCCATATATAAATAACTAATTGTATTGTAATGTTATAATTGTTATATGATTTTAATACAAGTCATTTGCATGGTTATTTAATTCTGTATAATTATACTTAAAATGTATTATTATATCCAAATTTTCATAATTTATGACTTGTTTATAATATATATAGAAAGTGATGTCAGAATATCGTGTATGTTATGTTTGTGGCGGCACGGCACCTAAACTTGGTACTGTAAATATAAATAGCATATTTATAATAATATTTCATTTAATTATTTCATATAATAATATTTATATTTATTTAATATTTGGATAAATAGGCGAGAATTATGTGATCAAAGGAAGCGGTATCTACACGTGTGAAAAGGACAGGCAATGGTTTTATAAAAATGCTAATTTAAGGGTAAATTCTGTTATATTCATATTTAATACTAAACTAGCTATTAATTTATACATTATATTATATTTTATGAAAATAATAGAAAGTTTGTCCAAAAGGGGAAATGGATGTAAACGCTCCGGAAAATTGTGACATAAGTTTGTGCCCGGCCTGTAAGCTACACAAGTGTTACAGAATTGGTTTGAAACTTGTAAGCTAGGTCAGTTTAATTGAGACTATAATTAATTAGATTATATTGTATCATACATAGAAATCACAAAACATCGCCAGTCATACCGGTACTACAAATGGCTATCATTTGCCAGAATTTCAACCAATACAATTAGCAAATTGCAGTGTTGGCAATGACCAGGGTCAGCAATCAGCCATAACTATGCTAACTATTAATGGAGACCCGGCTCATTCATACATCCAGCCCAATAATCCAATTACAAATAATGGCTATAATTTTGCCGTAAATTCAAACTTAACACCGACTGTGGGTCCAAACAACCAGATACTACAACCAGTTGCCGGTCCCACGACTACAATTCCTTCAAATATCACTATTTTGGGCTCATATCCAGAAAGTGTTAATACGCAAAATGATTTATTAGCGGAAATGATGGCAGATATTGATATGATATTTATCGACGAGATAGTAGACAATGGGACAGAGAATTTGAATCGCAATCAAGACTTCACTCAACAATCACCGCAAACATCAGTTCATAATACTATGGCAGTTGAGTCCTATCAGACAGCACCAGTAGCTCAGTCGGCAACCTCTGGATCCACTCAAACCATTGCACACAATAATACAATTGCGAGACAAACAGACACTTCAGATGATCACACCATCGATGATATGATATACTCATTAGTTAATAAAATTAACCTGGGTTTGATTACCACTAATGACGAGCCATTATTAGGCAAAATGAAAGTAAGCAAGCTATTACTAATTATAACAATGTTACATTAATTTCATTATAATTTATAAACTCATAAACATTATAATTGAAATAATGCTTACATTTACAGGAAATTCAAGTGAATGAGAATCACAACAAAATAATAGTCGAGGAGATTAGGCGCGAGTTAAAGAAACCAGGTAGACTTATACAGTTCCTGGATAAGACTGGACTGCACCGGGAGGCTATTGGTATGGCTGAGATGTTCCGCATGGAGGAGCCCTGGCCATACACTAATGGCATGGATTTAAAGGTTATAAACGCGTCAATACTGCGATCCGGGAGTTCCCGATACTTCCCTATGAACTCCAATCCCAGGGGTCGGGCTATTGTTTTTGTGACCGTCGATGGCCTGGACGTCGAGATAATGAGATGGAAATCCATTTTCGGACAGTTAGGCTTCCAATACGAGGTGTATCGAGAGGCCCCGTGCTCTCAGATAAGGGATGTGCTATTGGGGGTGTCGTGTCAGCGGTTCGTCGCCGACGCCCTGTTTGTGATGGTTATCGGCCGGGGATTTGATCAGAAGATCTACGGTTACGGCAAACGCGACGTCGATAATGAGATGTCGTTCACAGAAATTGTGGACATATTCTCTTCTAATAATCTTAAGAGTGATGTCTCTCTTGGGATGAAACCGAAAATATTTGTTTTCAACACTTTCTCTATTGGTTTGTAATTTATATTGTTTATATTTTGGAGAGAGAGAGAGAGAGAGAGAGAGAGAGAGATGGCGACGAACCGCTGACACGACACCCCCAATAGCACATCCCTTATCTGAGAGAGAGAGAGAGAGAGAGAAACCAAAATTTATTAATATATTTATGCACTTCTAGAAACTAACCAACAAATTGAAAATATCCGGATGAATCTGAATGTGAATAATATTAGGAGTTATGTCATTTATTCACATGCAAAATGTATGTATTACATAAACTGTCAAATAATTGTTATCATATATAATTTAAATAATGTGATTAAGTAACTAAAGACTAATTTCAGCCATAAATTCATGGCGTAACCCCAATGAAGGTATAACACTATTTGGAAAGGCATTCAGTTATTCAATCGCACTGTATGCGTGCAATTATCATCTTACTCATTTAGTTGGAAAAGTATATTATGATATTCACATAACTAGATTACAATTTAATTTACTAAATCTAATAATTGTATAGACTCTGAACCGACTGGCGGATGAGCATGGTGAAAATAATCATCCACAAATAACCATGAATTCGTTAGATATGACACGCGATATATATTTCAATCCTGGTCTTTAAATTATTTGCATCTAATCAGAGCGCGTATTATATTTTATAATAATTATAAATTATTATTTATCTATAATTCAATGTTTTATAACAAATAAACAATATATCAAATGAAAACAAATTCATTGAATACTTAAATAAATTTTATTGAATCTTATTGGCTTGGAAACTAAGTACTGTCAAAATCATGTGACCATTTAAATGCAACTCTGTCATCAAAACTTAAACTTTAAAGTTTTTACTTAAATAATTACAGAATATTCTTGAAATAAAACAATAAGTATTTGCATGAATTGGATCCACAAGTCATTCATAGGGATTTCAAACCCGAAAACATTGATTGCAAATAGATTTATAAAGTGATGTGAGCATCAAATTGGCATAAAAGGCCGGAATGTAGTCAATTGTTGGCTAAATATAATAAATTATTGATAAGTATATTGTGGAAAATGATCCAGGAAATGTGTGCAGAAAATTTGTTCAATCAAGTTGTAATACATTTTTTATTCATTCTTAATAACATTTATGCGCTAAAAGTTAATAAAATGTACTGTATAATTTTTTGAATAAAATTATCTTATTTACAGTAGTTATGTGTCTAATGTTGATTTAAATATAATGTATAATATTATCATGTTTAGATTAGAAAATTTATTTATTTTCTACATTGTTTAAAATATTCTTATTTCATTGTATTCTACCGCATATAATATATAATAGAAATCTAATGTCTCAAATCATTTGTTAAATGTTATGATTACAGTAGTAATTTGTATACTTGACAGCTCAGGTACTCTGAACTTAGGTTATATTCTACAGTAGTTTTCATGTACAGTAATCAAGATTATTTTCTAAATTTTCCTAATTGTATCTGGTATGTAATGTTTTGCATTATTTAAATGTTTTTAATGATTTTGAAATATATTTAAGGTGTCCAGAGATATTGACAGTGTATTCATTATAATATATTATGTTAATTAATATTTAAATATATACAGTATTAGTTTAAATTTGATACTGTTTAGAATTCAAACTATATTAAATTTTATTAAATTTGTTGAGAAGTTGGCAACAGTTTTATTTACAAGTTTACTTCAAACGAGTTTATTATGTCAACAAAATCTCTCTCTTTCTCTCTCTCTCTCTCTCTCTCTCTCTTTCTCTCTCTCTCTCTCTCTCCTGATATGTGACGTAATGAACGAACGAACGGACGTTTAAATAATCAGTAAATCAGTTGAAAAACATGTGAAAGAGTTAAACACTAATTGCAGACAAAACTATGCGTTCAGTAAGTCATAGGATATCTGTGGGAATACTTTATAACATTCATGTTGTGTCTCATATATCATATAAACATATAAATTGCATGAGTCTCGTATATATTGTTCATTTGATTTGATTATTGTTGTGCTCAATAATTGATTCATTAAATGCAATAATTGTAAGTGATTTTAATAATTAATTAATAATTTTTAGTAATAAGTAATTAAAACTTTTACTAGATACAAAAAAGTTATATACAACGAACAACTAGAATTTACAGCGAGTTTTCTAAAACCAATATAAAGTAATTGAGAATAATTAATAATTATATTTTATGATACAATTTTTCATAGCTTACTAGTATTTATAGTATATAACATGTAAAGTACTTTGTATTCTGATAATTACTTTATTTAAACTTATTGTTTATTTAATTATTTTTAGTTTAAACTCAATTTCAATAGAAATTGCTTTCAATATTGAAATTGTACCCAAAAATAATCATAAAATGTCATAAACATTGTCTTGATCATTGACCCATATATGGGTCACTATTTTCTATAAAGGCTATTGTATTTAAAACTAATGGACATTGCATTGAGTAGTGGACTACGAGTTCACTACATATTTATCATCAAAAAGTAATCCTTTTTTAAAATACTGTTAATAACACTCAAATGTTTTCTATTTATACAAAAAACAATTCTTCACATAAAAACTTTAGAAACATTTATAATTATTAGCAATAATTTATTACTAAAAATTTATTGAAAATAAATTTATAAATTTAATATAAATAGATGTCATCCACGGGAAGGGTGTGCGCTATTTGTGGAGTCAATGATCACACTATAAATCCAAGCACTAAAAAGTGTTACATAGTTGGTATGATTTTAAATTGACAAGTTGTTATACGATAAATATAAGTACTGTACAGTATGAATACCTAATGAATAATATTTCCAAATTGCGATAAATAGGTGAGAATTATGTGCCGAAAGGCAGTGGTGTCTACACGTGTGAAAAGGACAGGCAATGGTTTTATAAAAATGCTAATTTAAGGGTAAATTCTGTTATATTCATATTTAATACTAAACTAGCTATTAATTTATACATTATATTATATTTTATGAAAATAATAGAAAGTTTGTCCAAAAGGGGAAATGGATGTAAACGCTCCGGAAAATTGTGACATAAGTGTGTGCCCGGCCTGTAAGCTACACAAGTGTTACAGAATAGGATTGAAACTCGTAAGCTAGGTCAGTTTGATTAAGACTATAAATAATTAGCTTATATTGTATCATACATAGAAATCACAAAAAATCGCCAGTCATACTACAAATGGCTATCATTTGCCAGGATTTCAATCAATACAATTGGCAAATTGCAGTGTTAGCAATGACCAGGGTCAGCAATCAGCCATAACTATGCTAACTATTAATGGAGACCCGACTCATGCATACATTCAGCCCAATAATCCGATTGCAAATAATGGCTACAATTTTACCGTAAATTCAAACTTAACACCGACTGTGGGTCCAAACAACCAGATACTACAACCAGTTGCCGGTCCCTCGACTACAGTTCCTTCATATTCCACTATTTTGGGCTCATATCCAGAAACTGTTAATACAGAAAATGATATATCAGCGGAACTGTTAGATATGACGGACATTGAGATGATATCTACTGACGAGATGGGAGACAAAGGGATAGAGAATCTGAATCCCAATCAAGACTTAACTCAACAATCACAGCAAACATCAGTTCATAATACTATGGCAGTTGATCAGTCGGCAACCTCTGGATCCACTCAAACCATTGCACACAATAATACAATTGCGAGACAAACAGACACTTCCATTGATGACACCATCGATGATATGATATTTACATTTGCAAACAATATTAACCTCGGATTGGTTTCCACTAATGGCGATAAATTATTAGGCAAAATGAAAGTAAGCAAGCTTGTATTAATAAACAAAAATAATTTATGACTAAATTATTTGATAAATGCTTACATTTATAGCAAATTCAAGAAAACGAAAACCACAACAAAATATTGGTTAAGGAGATTAGGTGCGAGTTAAAGGAGCAAGGTAGATTGACACAGTTCCTGAATGACACTGGACTGCACCAGGAAGCTATTGCTATGGCTGAGATGTTCCGCATGGAGGAGCCCTGGCCATATGGCAAGGATTTAAAGGTTATAAACGCGAAAATACTGCGATCCGGAAATTCCCGATACTTTTCAATGGACTCCAGTCCCAGGGGTCGGGCCATTGTGTTTGTGACAGTCGATGGTCTGAAGGGAGAGGTGGACCGATGGGAGTCCATCTTTAAACAGTTAGACTTTCGGTGCGACGTGTATGAGAAGGCCACGTGCTCTCAAATAAATGATGTGCTGTTGGGGGTGTCGTGTCAGCGGTTTGATGCCGACGCCCTCCTCGTCATGTTTATTGGCAAAGGATATAATGAGAAGATCCGCGGTTTCTGCGATCGACTGGACATGTCGTTCACAGATATTGTGGACATATTTTCTGACTCTAATTGTATGTCTCTATTAAACAAACCGAAAATATTTGTTTTCAACACTTTCTCTATTGGTTTGTATTTTTTTTAATTATAAGGAGATTAGGTGCGAGTTAAAGGAGCAAGGTAGATTGACACAGTTCCTGAATGACACTGGACTGCACCAGGAAGCTATTGCTATGGCTGAGATGTTCCGCATGGAGGAGCCCTGGCCATATGGCGTGGATTTAAAGGTTATAAACGCGAAAATACTGCGATCTGGAAATTCCCGATATTTTTCAATGGACTCCAGTCCCAGGGGTCGGGCCATAGTGTTTGTGACAGTTGATGGTCTGAAGGGAGAGGTGGACCGATGGATGTCCATCTTTAAACAGTTAGACTTCCGGTGCGACGTGTATGAGAAGGCCACGTGCTCTCAAATAAATGATGTGCTGTTGGGGGTGTCGTGTCAGCGGTTTGATGCCGACGCCCTCCTCGTCATGTTTATTGGAAAAGGATATAAGGAGAAGATCCGCGGTTTCTGCGGTCGACTGGACATGTCGTTCACAGATATTGTCGACATATTTTCTGACTCTAATTGTATGTCTCTATTAAACAAACCGAAAATATTTGTTTTCAACACTTTCTCTATTGGTTTGTATTTTTTTTAATTATAAAGTAGAGTGAGAGTGAGAGAGAGAGAGAGAGAGAGAGAGAGAGAGAGAGAGAAATTTTGATTTAATTAAATTTATAAAAATATTTAAAAATATTATCCAACAGGAGAACCTCAACAAATTGAAAACATATCACTAAATAGCCATAATCGCACCTATCTCATTAATGCACACTCTAACTGTATAACCAAGACCAGTATGTATTTTAAATTATAATAAATACAATGTTTATATATTATGATTATAAATAAAATTATGAATTTTATTGAATATAGATATGAATTCGTGGTTTAATCCGACAGAAAATATTACACTATTTGGACAGGCATTCAGTTATACGATCGCACAGTACGCTTACAATCTGCATCTAGATGATTTAATTAAAACTNTAATTTATAAAATATTATTATGAGCATTTAATGAGCAAATGACTAAATCAATTAAAACTCGTGTAATAAAGAGCCGTAAATTGGACACTTGAGGGCACCGGTACTCTGAACTTATATTATATTTTGTTAATCTGTAATTAAAATTAATTTCATAACTGTATGATTTTTATTTTTTAAAATTATTGAAATATATTGAGGGAGTCCAAAGATATTTACTGTTATATATTATATGTTGCGTATGAGAGGTATGTGCCATACTTTCACTTTTTACATACAAACAGCATTCAACACCATTCAAACATCTTACAGTTTGTATCAATGTAATGAACTTATTTACTATTCATAAATTTTATTGTTATTTTTTATGGTCATATATTTGAATTATATATGAATAAAAAATATGAATTTAATGTATTAAATTAATTATCTATAAAATTCTGAAACATTTATTACATTATATCTGGAGTTTGAGTGTTTGCAGCCTTTATATGACTTTTAAAGGAACTGGCGATGGATTGTGGTGTTGGGTCAGTACGACTGTTATTATCGAGTTAATTGTTGTCATTTAATTGAAGTGCTTCCGAGAGAAAGGGGTGGGTATGGGGTATGGGGTCAGTCGTGGACAGACAGTCACAGACATACAGTCCGAGAGGTCAGTGGTGTTTAAGTTCGGTGTCTCTGACTGGCGTAGAGTCCGAGCGGTACTTACAGCGAGTTATATGAATACAAACTGATGTATCGATTATTTCACTCTCCATTCAATTGTTATAATAATAGAGTTATTTATCGTTTTACTTATTAGTAAACTTGTCTTTATAGTGTTTTTTCTATAGAAAGCGTATCTGAATCTCTATCTCTCTGTCCGTTACCAAACAATGATTTGTGGTCTATAATATGTTTATGTTTTATCATTGTATTTGATGACATTAGTTATCCTAACCTCATAAATAAACGTATGGCTTATACTATAATTGACCAAAACTGTAATTGTAATTAAAAAGATAACTTATCAGGTCACTTATAAATAACTGGTGATGGCACACATGTATAATATGATACCGACACTCCTACAGGTAATGAAAGTTTCAATTAAAAAGTTTTAATTCCACTCCCACCTTAATTGTATGGTAATTATAAGGTACAAACAATGATACAGCAATTGTGTGCTAATATGTATTTAATAATAGGGAAGTCTACGGGTTTCCTAAGGGGGAGGTGTATGTGAACTCATGCGCGTACCTCGCAGTCAATCACAATTCACATACTTTTCAATGCAAATATACATAGCGTTACATTGTATTGATTCTGTGGTTTCATTATTAATAAATGTTTCCTATATTTTTAAAAGCAATTAGTTTTTAAACAATTGATAAGAATTGGATTCACTTTTTACGTCTTTTTTAAATGTTTTTACTGTATGTGTGAAATTAGTTTGATTTAATATTAGTTTGAATTAGTAAATATTTTTTTATTAAATACAAATAATTGAAAATTGAATTTATTGAACATTATTATTTAAACTTGGTTTACTACATAAAATAAATAGTTTTATTGGTTATTAATTGGTAAGTTTTAATTAATTTTTTATTCATTAATTTTAAATTTTCCAAATTTTTTAAACGTTACATTGAAAAATACCATACTTATATTTTACAAATAAAATACATTAAATTGTAGTACTGTAATTGTCCGAAAATAAAATAAAATATTAGGTTTGGAGTTTGAATGTAAATACAACAAAATATGTTACAGTTTGAAGGTACTGTATATAGTGGTTACGACAATAAATAATAGATAGAAATCACATTAAAAATGCTAATTAATAGTGAAATAAAAGTCTATTCTCTGCACCCCTTCACTCAACCATCGACTCCAAAGTATTTACACAATAAAGTTATCAAAAATTGTGTTTTACATAAGCAGGGTAATAAACAACAGTTTGTAATAATTAAAATATATTATATTAGATTACAAATAATTGCAATTTGCATTGAATTTTAATTGTAAGTTATTTTAAAATTATTTTTAGAATCTATACTCCAATAACGCTCTATTTTAATATTTAATTCATAAATATGAGATGTTAAATGTTCATTATATTATATTATATTATATTTATTTATATAAATGAATTACTTTAATATGATAGTAGTTTGTTATAAAACCCTGATAAAATACAATCATCATACATAAACTAATCATAAAGTTTGAGGTATTTATTTGCACTGAAACTCAGTATTTGTAATATGTTTTGACGTGTAAATTAACGGGTGCTTTGGCACCGGTAGTATATTACAACGTAATTATTTTAATTACATAACATACAACCAGATAGTAATACTATCAAATTAACAGCTCCAGTACTGAGTAAATTTAACAAGGGCACATAGTCATGGGGTTTAGGCGCTATTTGAAATACATTTCGTATAAATATATATATATATAACTAATCAAATTTTATATAAATTTATACAAAATATATTGTCCCAGGGTATCATTTGTTTATCATTATAAATAAATTATGTCATATTTGAATTAGGCTATAAAGGGTTGTCTCGAATGGACTCCCGGTATACCGTTCCCTTGCACAGCCTTTCCTAATCACAGTATCCGTGCGACAACTTAATGGACTCCTCTTTGCGATAAATTATAATGTTTAGTTTAGATTTATTTACATTTCAATAAATAGTTTGTTTGCAAATATATTGTTTGCGCGTTTTGTTCAGATGAGTTTAGTCACTAGACTTTAGTGTATATAAGGTATGAGTTTTAAGTAATTGGAAAATTTTCAACTTTATGGCGCGCGCTTAAGACTTAATTGTTGGGATCAATCTATGCGTCCATTTGTAGGCCTGTTATCACTGATTATGAATACCATATGATTTAC